ATGGGCGAGAGAATGCAATGATAGAAATGACAGAATCATTGATTTCTCACTGCACATGTCGTCACTGTTACGATCAATTAAAAGTACAAACTTTTTCTAACTTTCTCGCATATGAATGGGATGTCCGTGAATTTAATTTATTTTATAACAAACTTTGCCATCAATCAGCACCCTGATAGCCATTTTCCTATCATTTCAAAGCACAAAGCATTTGCCTTATGTCAAGTGAAAAATTTTCGCTGTTCGGTTTTATTAATTTTGCCTTGAAATTTTCTGCTTTCTACATTTAGATTAATTAGTAGACCATTCATTTTATTGTGCATACATCGTTTTCACTCTCAGTTTAGCTGCTAGGGTGGACGCTGAATTAACCCAATAATAGAAGTCCTCGCTAGTCTTGCGCATTTAACTAAGAAGCAACTTTTCCAAAGTTGGTACATTGCATAACCGTAAAGCCGATTCATTCATCTAAGTGGACACCTTACACATAAAAAGGGCACTCATGTTAATCGTGTGCCACCAAAAATACCATATTCTAACTACAGACTGTGCTGGGCAAAGAACACTTCACTAGAAACGGGTAGTTCAGAGATGAGAACAAGAGGAATGTGCCCAATATTTGGGTCTCAAATGGCTAATTACCTCTGCGGTTTTTTCAGTAAAAATCATTTTGACAGAGACAGAGCTACAAGTCTGTCAATTTTGTCATCTGATCATGAGCGCTTACCATTTGCCTGCATTAACAGTCGCAAAAACTGCACTAAACACTTTATTAGGGGGACAAGTTAAGCCGATATTAAAAGGGAATTTCAAGTAAGCCTCTTCTTTTAAGCCTCAGTGAGAATTTGGAGATTCCTGAGATTCATGATCAAAGTTGAGACGTTCATGCTTCCACATTCTTATTATGACTTCCACTGTGACATGTTGTGTTACTTATCGGCAGTATGGTGCGCAATGCCGTAGTCAAACGGCTGTTTTAGAATGGCGACCAAAACGACAAGACTAGAGATCATACACAAAGCAAAATAGTGATTCCTCAAAACAGAATCAGAGATTGAGGAGAATAAAGGATTGCATGCCCATTACAAAATTAAAAGTGAATTCTGAGGCCTTTATGCAGATGTATGAGAGCATCCAGTCAGAAAACCATCTTACAAAGGACATCCTTGGAGTATCTGCCCTCATATAACCCTCTTCCGCAATATCTGGAATCGTCTGTACAAAGGATTGGCTG